GCTCTTCAGCCCTGTGCAAGGCCCCCCACAGGCCGGCAGAGACCCCCAGGGGCCTGCAGTGAACCCCTACGGGCCAGCAGAGACCCCCACAGGCCGGCAGGGGACCCCCATAGGCTGGCAGGGACCCCCACAGGCCGGCAGGGGACCCCCACAGGTCTTCAGGGCACCCCCACAGGCTGGCAGAGACCCTCACAGGCTGGCAGGGGACTCCCACAGGCTGGCAGAGACCCCCACAGGCCGGCAGGGCCCCCCAAAGGCCGGCAGGCACTCCTGTGGACATCTTGCTTTCCACTGATTGGCTGTGTAAGCAGAGTAGAAAGCAGGCCACACGGAATTCAGCTTTGTTTCATAGGGATGTCGTCCACCCCTGGCAGGCACTCGTTTCTAAGGCCAGTAGGATTCTTTGCTCCTGAGCCTGTTCAGAACCCGGCTCCTGACCACCCACCCCACCCCACCGTTTCCCTGTGCTTCCATGAAGCGGGAAGCCTGGGTGATCGGGTCACTCATCAGGTCTGAACGGTCCTTCCCCAGCCTGGGCCTCCGGGCAGGTCTCAGCCTTTCTGTGCCGCCCGCGCCCTCGCCACCCTTTCCCGCCTCCGGCTCGGACGCCCTGGGTCCCCGTGCCACCCGCAGACTGCTCTGCTTGTCAGCCCCCCTTCTCGTCGTGGTGTAATTTTCCTTCTCTCCTAGAAGTTGAGCCCGGCGAAGGCGGTGCAGGGTCTCCTTTGCCATCAGTTCTGACATGTAGAGGGTGCTCAGTAAATACTTGTCAATAAGCGAATTTTAATTAGACACAGACTGGAATTCAGGTATGCGCTAGCAGTGCTTCCGTGGGCGATTCTGGACAGCAGTGGTTTATTTACATTTGGTTGGAGATGCATCAGCCCAGCCTTCGCTGGGTTCTCAGACTTGGCACTGCTGGTGGTCTTGCCAGGTCACTGTGCCTCGGGGCCGTCCTGTGCACTGCAGGATGGAGGGTGGCACCCTGGTCCCACCCGCTGCATGTGACAACCACAGTGTCTCCAGCCTCAGTGCTCAGTGTCCCTGTGGGCAAAGTCGCCCCGAGGTGAGCGTCACTGGTCTACACCGGGGATGGTCTACACCCGTGGATCGTCCCCCTGGCTCTCAGCTGCAGAGGTGGACAGGAGGGCAGAGGGGCTGAGATATGGCTGAGCCCCCAGGGCCCGAATGGCAGTGTCCCCATTGAGAGCCGAACGCAGGCCGAGCTTGGGGACCACAGCCTTTGGTGACCCGTGCAGTGCAGGCTTGTCTGTGCTGGCCACCTCCTCGCTGAGCGTGGTTTTCGTAGCTGTCAGGTCATCTGGGAGCACGTTGTGCCTCAGAGGAGGCAGACCGAGAGGAAATGGACTCTTTCGTTGGTACGTGAGCATCCTCCAGTAGGCTAGGAAGTGGGAGCGGGTGCATTCAAGCTCCAGGAGACACTGCAGTGGGCCCGAGGCCATCTGGGGTTATGGGCAGGAAGCTCATGCCGGGGATGTCTCCGAGGCTGCCCCCACCTGCCGTCTGCGTGGCTTCATGCGGGCGCTGGGCTGCTCAGGTCCCGGCTCCTGTGGGGCCTGTCTGGGCAGGTGGTTCTGGGCTTTTCCTTTAGAACGTTATGCACCCGCCTGGGACCCTGCATTTCAGCCAGCTTCCCGGGCGCCTTGTGCCCTGGGAACCGCCGGCCTAGAGCCCATGTAGTCACGCCCTGTCCTCGTAGGAGTCCGCCTTTTTTCCGGAATGCACTCGGAGACTTTGACCCAGAATGATAACACTGACCCAGGCACTGGCATGTGGCCTGCCACCCACGGGCAGCACCGGGGAGGAACCTTAGACCAGGGCTGCACACTTCCTGCAGTGGAAAGCAGACACAGCCGTGTGCGTGTGAGTCAGGAGACTGGCTTCCTGTCCAGGCTTCTCTACACAACGGGCAGGCCAGGGACCACAGTGTGCCGCCGCCCAGCAGGCGGACCGTGGACCTACCACGTGACCCTGTCGGTCACGCCTAGGCGTGTGTCCCGAAGCGAAGGCGGACGTCTCACCCACTGCCCAGAAGGACAGTGTTGGCCATGGTAGACAGAAGGCGCAGACAGCCCAGTGTCCATCAGCAGATGATGGACGAGCAAAAGGCGGTCCCTCCACACAGCCGGACGGGTTTCAGCGTGGGGGAGTGACGGCTCGACACACGCTAAACCTCACGGTTAGGGACATGAGCAGTGACTGAAAGACTTTGTGACTCCATTTCTGCCAGGCCTCTGGCATGGGCAGCTTCTAGAGACAGGAAGTGGAAAGCACTTAGCAGGGGCTGGGAGCGAGGACATACCTGTCGAGTGGGTTTCTTTTGGGGATGGTGAAGACGTTTCGTGTTTGACAGCGGTGATGGCGTCACAGCATTGCGACCATATGTGATGGTTTGGAGTTGTGTCCTCACAAATGGTTAAAATGATAAATAATGTTATGTATATTTTACTACAATTAAAAAATTTTTTTTAAGGTGGCTCTCAGCAGACCCCTGCTTCAGACAGATGTGCCATTAATTTAAGTGTGGAGTTAGATTCGGGAATAATCGGGCCAGCTAGCGTGTTGGCCCTAAAAAAGCAGATAAGTTGCATTCATCAGATGGATAATTTGTCACGACAGCTTTTTAGTTGAATCTAGACGTTTCTGCCCTCATCCGGAAGGAAGGGATTGTCAGCATCCACCTCGCTTGCCCCGAGCTTGCTGTGGCTCAGTTCTACCTGCGGGTTTCAGATCATATTAGAATTTCTGTCCTCCCCACCTGTAATGATGCACAGGTGTGTTCGAACGGCCGTGGGGCTGAGGTCTTTGGTTGAATTTATCATGCGACGTTAAAGTGGGCTCCGTGTGTGTGTGTGTGTGCGCACTTTGTACATGTGTGTGCATGTATGTGCGTGTGTGCCCTTGTGTGCGTGCCCTCGCACGTGCCCGTGTGTGCACTGTGGTGCTTTCCTCGGCCGTGCGGCTGGCTGTCCTTGGCCGTGGTGCTTCGCGTCAGAGGCCGGGCGACCGCAGGTGACCACCGCGTGACTCTCGTCTGCGTTCTTTTTCAGGGAGCGCATGGAGCTTTTGGAGGAAGCCAAGAAGATGGAGGTGGCCAAGTTCCGTTACGTGCTGCCCGTGTACGGCATCTGCCGCGAGCCCGTGGGGCTGGTCATGGAGTACATGGAGACCGGCTCCCTGGAGAAGCTGCTGGCGTCCCAGCCGCTGCCCTGGGAGCTGCGCTTCCGTGTCATCCACGAGACCGCGGTGGGCATGAACTTCCTGCACTGCATGTCCCCGCCCCTGCTGCACCTGGACCTCAAGCCTGCAAACATCCTGCTGGACGCCCACTACCACGTGAAGGTGGGGCGTCACCGTGGGCGACCGGGCCGCGGGGAGGTGTGTGCCGGCCGCGGCGGGGGGTGTGGTGCGGAGGAAGGAGCCCCAGGTCAGTGCGGGCTGGACGAGGACTTGAGACAAAGGCTTCTCGGCGTGGGAACAGCGCAGCCCCCAGTCCTGTCGTGGGCGGTGCAGACGCTGCACACTGTGGAGCTGCAGAATGGACTCTGATACGGCCACTCCCCCGAAACCCGGGACGTAGCTCTGATCCTGGGAGCCCGGGAACACGGAGGCCGTGGACCTGCGGTTCTGGTGTCGGTGGTCTTGGGCAGTTGGGTTGGAGACCAGCGGGGCGGCCGGGCGTCTCCTGTGGGACCGTGGTTGCGGGCTGTGCCCCCCCCGGCAGGGGCTGGGGTGGTGGGAACTCGGGGTGCTCCGGGGTGCGGCTGCGTGGCGTGGCCAGGGGCTCATTCTGCTCTGCATTGTGAGGCCTGCCTTTTTTTTTTTCTTGATACGTTTGTAAAACAAGAAAGCGTAAGGGCTGATGTGACTGCACACTGGGTGCAGCCTCCTGGAGTTGGTGGTTGGGAACGTTGTCGGGCGTGTCTTCTGTGACGCTGTCTGCCGTGGCAGGCCTTCGTGCGCGGGGGCGCCCTGCCGTCCGCACTGGGGGGCGCGTGCTGCGGGATTCCGTGGCTGATGCCCGCGGGTAGCTGCTGGCTCTCAGGATGCGGTCACCTTGTCCTTTCCCTTCTGCCTGGGGGTGAGCGAAAAGGACCCAAGGGTGACAGCCATGTTCCTTCCGGTTCCTGCTGGGACAGGCGAAGGGACCCACCTGGGCTCTGTCGCCGCTGTCCCAGCTGCACCTGCAGGCTGCTTCGCTGTTGGCCTGGGGAGGGGGAAGGCCCTGCCTCCCAGTGCCCTCTGGCCACCGTCCCGCCACCCGTAACGGGAGGGCGGTGCCGGGTGTCATGCCCACGGCCCCTCCCTGCGCCCGGACTTCGCAGCAGGCACCCCGCTTCCGGCCGAGCCCTCACGAGGCCAGTGGGGAAATCTGTTTTCACCAGGGCAGTGATTACAAGTTGTCCCTTGTGTGGGCACCTCTCGGTCCTGGGGCTTTGGCTGCAGACGGAAGGCTCCGCTGCCCTGGCCCCTCGTGGTCGCTGGTGCTGGCAGCACATGCAGACCCGCAGCCCCCACTGACACGGCAGCGTCCTCACCAGGACGTCCCCTGGGCAGGGTGGAGCCTTGGCTCCCCACTCGGCTGCACACGAGAAAGAGAAGCCAGGGCCAGGCCTCCCTCCCCCTCACCACAGGAGCTGCCCCATCTTCTAAGTGAGGGACCTAGTGGACGGAGGCCTCCGGCTCCTGCTAAGCTGAGCCTCATAGGGGTGGAATCACGGCCGGTGTCGCCCCGCTTGGGTGAGGGCAGAGCGCCTTTGGGTGGAAGAAGCAGCCTGAGAAAAGCTGAAAGATTCTGGGTTCGGGGCAGGGGAACGAAGGCGGCGTAGCTGGACTGGGGTGGCGGGGACGTGAAGGCCGGACCCCGGCCTCGTGGCCAGCCGCGTGCCGCTGGGAGAGAAGCCGCTTGGAATGTGCTTTCCCCGCGGCTGCTGGGAGCACAGCAGGTGCTCGGACAGGTGTGTCTGCAGCCAGGTCCCTCTGACATGTCCCCCGGAGTCGGGGACCGTGGCCGGCCTGGCCGGGCTTCTGTGGCCGTGCATCCCCTGTCTGTTCCCCTACCAGTGCTGGGGCACGTGGGCATCCCTGGAGGGTCACAGCTTTGTCACCTGGCGGGCAGGGGCCAGGCCTGTCTTGCTGTGAGGTGTCAGTGACAGTAAAGTGCCTGGCCCGCGGAAGTGCTCGGTGAAGGTCAGCGTGGGTACTTCTGTGGCCAGTAGATGTTCGTCTCCTCCCCAGGGATGTTGACGTTTATCTAGGGACGGCCCCCTGTACCGGGTCCCCACCAGGCACCTGTACCCACCCGTCGAGGGGCTGCGAGCTGCGGTCTGACCGCTGGGCCCCGTGGCCTCGCTTTCCTCGCTGGCCATGTCCGCGCTGGCTCTTGGGGCCTCAGCGAACTTCCCGGCCCCCTTCCCCAAACACCTGGCTGGCCGGACCTGGCGCTTTACGGCTGTCGTGAAACGGGCGGAGATTCCTCACGGAGCCCAGCATGGCCGAGAAGGACTGGTCTCCATGACAGGAAGCGCAGTGACGCTGCCGCTTCCGGACCCCGGGCGCCGACGGTGGCGCAGGCCAGCTCTGTCCTCCCAGTGCCCCGAAAGGCCGGTGTGGCAGCCTCTCCGTGGCCACTGACGAAGTCGCCTCGCACAGCCCCGGACAAACAGAAAACGTGTTCGCGTGACGCGGTTCTCAGTCCCAGCCCCGGCCGGCGGGCCGTGGAGGCAGCGGAGCCTCGTCGGGGGCCCCAAGTCATTCATCGATTGGCCATCATCGGATATCTGGGTTCTTTTCAGTCGGCGGTTCTTTGAAGCACTAAACCTTGACTTCGGAATCTTGAAATAAGACTGACGTCGTCAGCCCACGCCTTCCCACGGGCCCTCGAGACTGACTCCCTGCTGTCCACAGAGCGGTGATTCCAATGCAGACTTTCACAGCGAGCCCTTAACTTTGCGAAGTTTTAAAGACGCTTAGTGCAAGATGAAATAACGTGGTTAGTCTACATCCCAGGCTCAGATGACACTGTAGTCAGGGATTCCCCAGGGCCTGTCCACCTGCGGTCTGCAGAGCCTTGCTCCCTGAGGCCACTCTGCCCTGACCGTGCCCTTCGCTAGTCTCGTCCAGCTGGACGGGAGTCTGCTGTGCACGGGCCTGGCCCTGGCCCTTGTCGAGGGAGCAGGGGCTGGCGACTCGGGGCCCAGGCGGGAGAGGCGAGAACGGGCAGGGGGCACCCGTGGGTGGAGGGTCCGCAGCCGTCAGGGAGTTCTGGTCCCTGGGTTTGCGTTTCGAAGCCAGAGCTTTCGTTTGGGCTTCTTTTCCTGGCGGAGAGGTTAGCAACGAGGCAGGGGCACTGGTGCCAGGCCGCCCGCCGGGCCACGACCTGCCGCTCGGTCCGCTTGGTCCAGGAGCTGGGTTTATTCGGGGGAACCGGTGCTCCCCTTTCCAGAGCAGGCAGTTTCTTGAAGGCCAGGAACAGACAGCAGCTGGGGGCCCAGAAACGGCCAGACTGGCCTGCGCTGGGCACAGCCTGGCCACAGGGATGGAGGCCAAGTCCAGGGTCCAGTCTTGCAGGCTTTCATCCCGACACCTCCCCACACGTGTGGGCAGAGATGTTGAAGGATCGCGCCTGTAAGTCATAACTTCTCCCCGTCTCCCATGGTGATGACGCCAGGCCACTGGCTCACAGCGAGCCCAGCACGAAGGCCTGACTCAGCCCCCTTTCCTACCGCTCCGTCGGTGTGTTTGAGGGAGGGGCGGGGGTAACCGGGAGGCTCGACGGGACCCCTATGCCTTGCAGGAGAGCAGGAGGGGCTGTTTCCTCCATGGGTCCCAGGCCCCTGAACGCCCGTGCCTGTGGCCTTGTCCCACACACAGTGCTTCAGTGGCTCTGGGGGTGAGGGGACTGGAGGACCAGCTGGTGCCCCTCAGAGCGTGCCACTCCACTGCCTCCACTGTGGGTGTCGGGGAGCTGTCAGGACACCTTTGCCCAGAGGAGAAGAGGTGGGGTGTGGACCCTGAGCGGCGAGGCCCAGGTGCCCCGCAGGTGGAGATGCGTATCAGACCTGTCTTTGGGTGCCATGTGTTTGGTGCAGGCGCCAGCAAGCGCCCGTTGATCACAGAATGTTCCAGGTGGGGGCCAAGGCTGCATGGTGTGTGAGTTCGCTCACCTCACAGGGCTGCTGAAGCGCAGTCCCTTTTGAAGAACTTGCTGCCACTCGCCCGCCTGCCCAGCTGGCGCGGTGCATAGCTGGCTTGTCTCAGCTCCGGGCCTGGCAGGCCTCGCTTCCCACGTGTCGTCTGGGACCGGAAGTGCCCGGCGCGGCTTCCCCCCTGTGCGGGGGGGGCCGTCTCCCACTGGGGCGCCCGGGGGCCTGCGGAGGAAGGTGTCGCTGCTTTAGGCATCTCGCTCGCTGTGGGTCGCTTTCTGAAAGTGCAGGCTCTGAGTGGCTCCGGCCCTGGTTCCTGCCGAGCCGCTGTGCCCCCTGCCCGGGGCAGCACAGGCCACGCCCTCAGCTGTGGCTCCTGCGGGAGCCTGGGGGTCCCGGGGGAGGGTCCTGGCCGCAGTCCGCGAGGCGCTGCGCAACCTGCTGAGCCTCCTGCCTGTGCTCTGTTGCAGATCTCCGACTTCGGGCTGGCCAAGTGCAACGGGCTCTCCCACTCCCAGGACCTGAGCATGGACGGCCTGTTCGGCACCATCGCCTACCTCCCCCCAGAGCGCATCCGTGAGAAGAGCCGGGTCTTCGACACCAAGCACGACGTGTACAGGTGCAGAACCCCGACCTTTCATGCCCTAAACCCTTCATACCCCGAATGGCACTTTCCCCAGAGGGTCCTTCTGCCCTCGGCTTCGAGGTTCAGCCACGCAAGAGGGTCTGAGGTTGTAGCCGGTGGGTGCCCCCTGCCCCAGGAGCCCGGGGGACAGTTGTCTCCTGTGAGTGCCACCTGCTGAGGATGGAGAATATGAGTGGTCGGTGCCATTAGGGCCGGTTACGTAACCAGCCTGGCAGCCTTCGCACTGTAAAAGCTTTGGCGTTTTAATAAAGCGGGGGTTTTGTGGCTCGTCTGCTGAGAGAACCCTCTGCTCTAGGTGGTCTCCGACCTTGTGCCCGTGGATTGGGCTCTCCAAAATCCAGGCCCCTGCGGCCCAGCAGCTCATGCCTCCGAACGTCCCTTGCCTGTGACAGTGCAGACAGCCACAGGCCGTCCACACACTAGCGTCAGTGGGGCTTGTGCACTAGCAGACAGCCGTGTCATGCGCAAAGGTCTTAATCACAGGCTTCCTTAAGGAGAACGGGGTAGGGGGTGCGGACGGGCCCCTGGGCCCCTGGGTGTCTCTCCTGTGGTAACTGGGACCCAGAGCCCCGGAGCTTTGCCTTTTGTTACTGCCACCGCCAGGCGGACTGGTTTGACAATAACCATTGTGTGTGTACTCAGCGGGGGAAAGGCATTTGGGGAGCTAGTCACAGCTTGTACAGTTTGGCGAGAGGAAGATCATTTATTTGGGAGTGGAGAGCTTGAACGTTTGAACTCGCAGGTTACAATTAATCGTCAGTGGAGAAATGCTGGGGCTCTGTAAACAGCCACGATCGGCTCAGGGCAGGGCGTTGGCTCAGCGTTCGGATGCCTGTTTTGTTTTGTTTTATCAGATCGAGCTCTTTTTCAGTGAAGTCAGGGTAATTTTATATATTACATCTAAGTAATTTCCAGTAACCGAGAAAGGGCTCTGGGGAGAGACCTGGATTGCCAGCATGTTTTCCGGACCCTCTGACAGACCCTCAGTGGACAAGTGGCCCGCAGCACCTAGAGCTTGCAGGAAGTTGGGGGTGCATTCAGCCAGCGGGGGCCCTTCCGCCCACAGGCTGACGGCAGCACGCCTTTTGGGGGGCTCCCTCATGCCGTGGGAACTGACAGCTCAGTTGGAAGGGTTTTGCCCATGGTTTGACATCTGAGCTATCAACGCCGGTGACATATTCCACAATAAGAGCTTTCACCTCTTTTTAAAAAATCACGCGCAGCGTCTTCGTGTCGTCCCCGCTGGGGTTTAAAGACGGCCGTCTCCCGCCGCGTGGCCGTGTGCGGAGCTCCGGGCTGCGTGCGGGTCTGGCGCACGGACACTGACCTGGCCCGTTTTCTTGCAGCTTCGCCATCGTGATCTGGGGTGTTCTGACGCAGAAGAAGCCGTTTGCAGGTGAGCGGGCTCGTCTTTGGGGGTGGCGCCTCTGTCCTGGACAGTGGAGGACACTGCCTGCACAAGCGCTCGTGGCCCACCCTCGACGCGGGGGCGGCTCTGGCCTGCCCAGGAGGGGGGCACGCGACCCACGGCCGCTGCCTCGTGGGGGGGCCTGGATGCCGGCAAAGCGCTCCTGCAGGCGGGCTTTCAGTGGGGTGTTTAAGGAGCCAGCCCGCTCCTGTGTGCGTGTGATGTGATACACGCAATATAGAGTTTATCATTTTACCTGTTTAAAGCGTACAGCGTAGTGGCGTCGAGTACATTCACGGCGTTGTGCAGCCAGCAGCAGTATCTAGCTCCAGAACATTCTCACCCCCCAGAAGGCAACCCCACGCCCATTAAGCCGTCGCTTCGCATGCCCCCCGCCCCAGTGACCGCCAGTCTGCCATGAGTCTGCTTTCTGCCTGTCGTGGTTACTTGAAATTGTGGGAAAGCGCACACAACGCAAACTCCACCATCTTCCCCATTTCTGAGGGGGCCGTCCAGTCCTGCGGCGGACACTCGTGGCACTGGGCAGCCGGCTCCAGAGTCGCTGAGTGGATTCTGCCACACGTGGGTGCACCAGGGCACCCTCGGCCGCTCCCGAGCCACACCCGTCCTGCCCTGTCCAGGCACCCACCGGTGTGGTTTTTGTCCTCAGAGTTCGGTACTTTGACTTAAACTAACAGGAGCTCCCAGACCTGGGGCCACGCGCGGGCTCCAATCCGCATTTTCAGGTAGTTGTGGTCAAGCCACCGATAACGTCAGTGGCCCAGAGATGCCCACAGGAAAAGGGACTCTGTCCCATGACGCAAAGGGGTCCTTGCCTTTTGCGTGAAGTGTTAGTTTAAGTCAAAGTACCGAACTCTGAGGACAAAAACCACACCTCTGAGCTCAGTTTTCCATTGAGTTAGTGCCCAGAGGGACGTGCTCTGTGCCGAAGCCACTGGCACCTGAAACCGGGTAGACGAGGCTGGCCGCGGCTCTGTGCGTTAGAAACGAGACAGGTGGCCTCGTGGCACGTGAGGGGCCCGGGGGGCCCCGAGGGCCTTGCCGCCGTCCGCAGTGGGTGTTCTCCCAGAGGTGGCGCCCCTGCCGGCCCCAGAGCTGCCTGACCGTGCGCCTTTCCTCCTAGACGAGAAGAACATCCTGCACATCATGGTGAAGGTGGTGAAGGGCCACCGCCCCGAGCTGCCGCCCGTGTGCAGAGCCAGGCCGCGTGCCTGCAGCCACCTCCTGCGCCTCATGCAGAGGTGCTGGCATGGGGACCCACGTGGACGGCCCAGCTTCCAAGGTGAGCGCCCTCGGAGGGCCCCCAGCTCGGGGCTCCCTGAACGACGCTGTTGGCCAGTCCCCTGGTGTCACGGGAGAGAGGAGATGACCAGGATGGGGTTGGGGAGCAGGCCTGCATGGGGAAGGCCGTACAGAGACCACCGCGCCAGGCCGAGCGCCCAGGAACAGCGTGGCCGCCACTCCGGCCTGTGGCCATCGCTTGCAGGGCCATGGTGGGCAGCTGGAACTTCGAGGTCCACTCCAGCTGTCCACTCCAGCTCTGGCCCAGGGCCGGGCTCGCTGCCCAGAGGAGCCAGGACTTGGCGTTTTGGGTTCACATAGAGTGTGAACGAGGTGGCGGCCTCACGTGCCGGGCGCTGGCAGCCCTGGCCGTCGGTGCCCGCTCTGGGGGTCCCCCCGAGGAAGCTGCTTTGGGAATCTGGACCCCTGTGGCTTGGATCTGGCCAGACCCTGTGCGTGATGCTGACAGAGGCCCCGGTTCAGCCTGGTGGGGGCCCTGCGGGGGGGTCACCTGTGAGCTCGGCCAGGGCCCGCAACATGGGACATCACAGTGTGGAGCTGTAGATGCTTTGGGGTGTCACCTCTTCTGTCCCCGCCTGGGATGGCACTGTTAAGTAGAGTATATGCAGAAGGCATTGTTCTAGTAACGTGCTGTTTTTTTCTCCCTAATGGAAATTACTTCTGAAACTGAGGACCTGTGTGACAAGCCTGATGACGAGGTGAAGGACATGACGCAGGACCTGGATGTGAAGGACCCTCCGGAACCCAGGAGCGAGGGCCGGTGTCCTTGGCTATGCGTTGGGATTGCGTTCGCCACTGGGGCTCCTTTCTGCAGATTCCCCAGCCAGCCCGGGTGCCGCGTCCCCTGCTCCGAGGCTTGGCCTGCCATGGGCCACAGGTGTCCTGTGCTTAGCGGCAGGAGGCCAAGTCCCAGGGCAGCCTCAGTGGCCCCAGATCTGTTTCCTGCCTGACCGTACCTGTTCCCTCCGCCTGTCTGTTTACGAATGAACGGTCTGGGCCCATGTGTGGCCTTAAAAAGCCACCAGCTGGGTGCTCTTTGGCCCTGGGGAGCAGAAGGCCCTGCTGGGCCCAGCTGGGGAGCGGACTGGGCTTGGGGTGGGCGTGTTGCACCCCTGGCTTGGGCCTCTCCTCATAAGCGATTTGTTCTGCGGGCCACGCAGGTCACATGAGATGTGATAAGCTCCAGCCTCCAGGGCTGACTAAACAGCTTTGCAGTAACGAGACTTGTAAAGTGAACCCTGAACTAAGGTCTCAACGTGCTGTCTGGTGTCAGGCGGCTCACCCCAGGCCGTTGCCGTGGGGCTGGGAGATGATGTTTACGGTGATGCCACTGTCTGAACGTGGAGGGGCCTGTCCGCGAGGCTGGGGAGCAGGGCTGTGATGGGGAGCCACTTGGCCCCAGCCAGTGGGAGCAGCTCAGTGCACCGAACCACCAGTCAGCGGATCAGCGGTCCCCAGAAGGGGGAGGACTTGGGGAGGGACTTGGGGAGGGCACCGGGTCCCCTCAGACCGCCTTCCCCGCTGTCTGCTAGGGGTGGTCCTCTGAAGGATGACGGCCGTGCCGTTTGGTAGCTGGGCCGGCCCCGCCCCCGTCCTGGCACAGCTCCTAGGAGAGGCCACAGGTCGTGGGCAGTGTCGGGGGACCCAGCCCCCGCTCCCCACTTCCCTCGTTTCCTGCCAGTGCTGACCTGCTCTGGTGGACACACCTGAGCACCGTTGCCTGTCCGGCCTTCCGTCTAGCCGCGCTGCGGGCCCAGGGCAGCGTGGTGCCGGCCTGGCCGTTCATCACTCGGCTGTTCCCTGCCAGGTCTCCCCGCCCGGCGCGCCCAGCACGGTGCCTGTGGGCTCCTGGCGCCGTGCATCCGGGAGCGGGGGTTACGCTCCTGCGTGGGGACCGGGGACCATGTGTGCCCCGCGCCCCGGCCCCGCCCGCGTGTGCCGCGGCCAGAGCCTCACCCGGCTCCCTCTGCTCGTCCTCGCAGGTGCCCGTGTCCACGCCCCTCAAGCGAGCCTCGGCTCCGGCCTTCGACAAGGACGACAGCCTCTCGGAGCTGCTGTCACAGCTGAGCTCGGGCACCTCCCAGACGCTCGAGGGCCCGGGCGAGCTCAGCCGCAGCGCCTCCGAATCCAGGCTCCCGTCGGCGAGCAGCGGCAAGAGGCTGTCGGGGGTGTCCTCTGTCGATTCTGCCTTCTCCTCCAGGGGGTCGCTGTCCCTGTCTTTCGAGCGGGAGCCTTCCACGGGCGGTGAGTGGGGGACCCTGTGTCCCGGGAGATGGTGTAACGGGGGGTTGGTGGCGGGCAGGGTGCAGTGACGTCTGTGAGCAGCTGAAAGGTTCTTGACCTCGTGATAATTCCTCGTTTTCTCCGTCCCTTTGCGAGCTGGCTGCATGTCAGTGGTGTGGTTGGTCACTGTGCCCAAGCCCAGAGCAGGTGGCACTCAGGCGGGGGCGAGCCGCGAACCTGGCCGGGTCAGCGCCGGCGCAGGGTCTGGCCTCGGGCTGGGAAACCCACGGGAGCCTGCGAGGGGGTGGGGGGTTGAACCCCACCCTTTCCTTACAGAGGCCAGCTCCGCACCCTGCTGCTGGTGCTGCGTAGACGCCCTAGACGCACTTACCTGTGGCTCCTGGGCGGTCACGGCACCCTGCCTGTCGCGGGGCCCTTCCCAGTCAGCTCGGCTCACCCTCTGACGTTTAGTGGGATGGTCTTCTGCATCAGGGGTGCTTCCTCTGCCCCTGGCCCAGGGCCGGGCCTTGGGTGTGGGGGCCGGTGCTTCCTGTGGCCCTTCACTGCCACCTGCCAGGGCAGGATGTGCTCCTGAGCTGCACGTGAGCGGCCACAGTCCCGTGAGGACCGCGTGGACGTTCACGCTTAGGGCACCAGCGTGGGGTGACTGAGTGCCAGCCGGTTGGGAACCCCAGGCAGAGCGGGCTTTGCTTTTCCTGGCGACGAGGGAATTCCTTCTGAAGGCAGGACTGTTCCTGGGTGCTGAGGGCCCCCAGGAGTTTGCAGAGTGACTCTTCGGGGTGAAGGGCGTTTTGTGCAGGGAGGCCCCGCTGCAGAGCCTGAGTGGAGGTGGGCGGTGGTGCGGAGGTCCAGAAGGGAGGGGGCCCGGCTCCCGTGGGGAAGCCCCTCTCCGCTGCTCCCAGATGCCACCTCGTCCTCACGCAGAGGGAGGTCCAGTTATTGGCCCAGCCCAGAAGTCGGGGTCAAAGCACCGAGCCCCACGGGGCCAGTTCCGTTTCCCGCCTTCCACCGGCACCCCACCCCCGAAGCGAGGCCCTGTGCGTGTCTCATGAGGGACTCTGATGCGGGGTTTTCATGACGGGTGGGGCTTTTTCGTGAATCGTGGTCCTCGTGAGATGGGGGACTCAGTCTTTTCACGACGATCATGGGGACGTAGGGACAGGAGGCGCCATTTGGAGGCTGGGCTGGGAGCAGGCCACCAGGCCCTGGAGGGGTGGCCCTGGGGTGGCGGCTGCCAGCTCTCTGGTGGTCCGGGGGCTGCAGCCCGGTCCGCGTCCCACCCCGCTTCCTGTGAGCAGTCACCTCCGGTCCCGAGTCCAGCAGGGGCCTGTTTTACATCCTTTAATCACGACCCTACAGCGTGGCTCGAAGGATTTTTATTTTGCAAATTGACAAAGGAGCTTCTGGGAGACATTGGCCTGCCTAGGGTCTCCCCGCTAGATCTAAAATAAGTGAGCAGGGACAACACGCCACGTGTGCGTGTCAGGTAGAAAGCGACCTGGCGGCCACGCGGAGGTGTGGGTCACCTCGGGACAGCAGCCCGGCCTCCAGGGGAGCCTGCGGGCCGGCGGCCTCGTCTGACCCTTGCATCTGCTCTCCCCAGACCTCGGCACGGCAGACGTGCAGAAGAAGAAGCTCGTGGATGCCATCGTGAACGGAGACACCAGCCGGCTGATGAAGCTCCTGCAGCCGCAGGACGTGGACCTGGTGCTGGACGGCGGCGGCAGCCTGCTGCACCTGGCGGTGGAGGGGGGCCAGGAAGACTGCGTCAAGTGGCTGCTCCTCAACAACGCCAACCCCAACCTCACCAACCGCAGGGGCTCCAGCCCGCTGCACGTGGCCGTGGAGAAGCGCGCGCGGGGCATCGTGGAGCTGCTGCTGGCCCGGAAGGTCAGCGTCAACGCCACCGACGAGGACCAGTGGACGGCGCTGCACTTCGCGGCCCAGAACGGGGACGCGTGCAGCACGCGGCTCCTGCTGGAGAAGGGGG